GTGTGGTGTGATACAAAGCCCCCTTTCTCCTTTAATTCACACATACTCTGTGCTTGCTTTTGGCATACAGTGCTGGAAGAACCTGAAATATACTCTAGCTATGCATGGTACAAATGCCAAAAGCACACAACAAAACTACACAGCACACACACACAGCAAACAGTCTAAAGCTAGTGTACATAAAAGCATACAAATCTGGGTATTTCTGTTTATTTAAGTCATTGTGTCACTGTAGGAAACTCTTCCATCTAGTTCAAAATGAATACAAAAAGCCAATTAAAGAAAACAACTCACATTCACAGTGAAATCCTGGATGATAAACCTTATGTCCCTAATTAAATCAAAGTAACCTCCCTGATTATATGGCTTACAGTATTACTCTCTGCAAACATTTACTCACACACACTCTCAGAAGCACACAGATGAGCTCAGCAGGTAGAGTGTGTGATGAAGTGGTCCGTTGTGGAGGAATGAGTTTTGGCTCAGATGTGACTACATATCCTTCCACTGAAGCAAGCGGGTCTGGTGGAAGGCTACCTAAACAACCTGACAGCTGAACTAACATACACTCACCTATAGATGCACACATGCACAGGTTTCAAGTGCTGAAAAGAAGAATATATTGATACTGACTTCATATGGAGGTCATTTTGTTTCTTTATTCTGCATGCAAAAAACATACTTGAGAGCAAAACTTTGGTACTGTAATCAAAATACATTTCCAAAGACAAAAAACCCTTTGCTCAGAGAGCAAAGCTTATAGGTGAGCAACCAAAAGATAAAAGATTACAGTGTTAAATGACCTGGTTTTGTTTGAAATGAAATTAGTTCTGATTTCAATCAGTTTATATTAGACAACTGAAAAGCTTTTTGGTTGCAAAGACATTTATTTTGATTGCAGTAGCAAAGTTTTGCTCTCAAATGTTTTGACTCCAATACAAAGAAACAAAATTATCTCCAAAACTCCAGTGTTGCAAAGGATTCATTTATCATAAGGAAGGAAGAAATCATTGATTTTACAAAGAATGAATCAAGTAATGCTGAAATAAAAAAAAATAAAAAAGTTAAGTGAAAAGGGTCAAAACAGAAAAAAGTAAGAGTAAACTGAAAGGAGTAGACGATTCTTCTTGTATTACTCCAAGCCTAGGCCAGGTAAGCCTGAGAACATAAAGCTTACATGTAGTATTTTGCTTTTTCATCAGTGCACTATGAAACAGAGGAGGCGCTGATCTCGATGGACAGTCGAGTCTGATACCCACTCAAATTGTCAAGGCAGCTTGACCGGTGGTCTGATATCAGATGAAGAAAGGCTACATGAATGCCATCCAACAGATATTTAAGGCCTGCCTATGGTGGTGTCTGCATGAACATCTGAGGCCACAGCTAAGTTTAGGGCTTGGGAGCGTGTGAGAGGTCAAGCTTGAGTCTCGGGTGAGGCAGCAAGAAGCCAGGGTCAGAGGTTCAGCTACCACAACCACATGTCAGTCTCTTTTAGGAATAAATATTAAAATCAATGTTGTAATAACATGTTTTTATCTGGCTACGCTTCCCAGTTTGTGCTTTCCACATGCTCGACAAGGAGTGATGAGTCAGTCCTGGGTTTTAACACTTCACCTAATCCCTCAACAAAGGCAAATAACAGCAGCAGGAGCCAGAAGGGAATCTCTTTAACATTCCAGCAAATGATATCATTACTTAATGCCCAGGCTGCACCCCTTCTGAGCTGATCAGGGCTATTCTGTCCCAGCGAGGTTGACACACATATACTCACACACAGAAAGTATTGTACTTCACAAACAATGGCTGACAGTTGCAGCTGACATTATAGAATGAAATGCTCAGCACAAATCTCGCCTTTTATAACTGGGGCAAAAATGGATGACTTCACAAACCCTTCCACAAATGTCCACATTTAACTCTGGCAAATCTCTATATTCAAGGCCGGCCTGCAGACTAAAATTAGACCAGGGGAAAAGGGTACTGTACATATAGCCCTTGTGTTACCAAAGGGGAGATAGGGAAAGGACATGGGGGGGGGCAGAGCCAGAGAGGGTGAAGGAACAGGGGCACATTTAATATAAAGTAAATAAGAAAAAGAATGCTGTCTGTATCTAGGTCTATGCTAACAGGAAATGGTGTGCATGTGTCTATTATTGGCAGTGGATTCATGACATCATATTGTCTCTTCCAGGGGGAAACTATAATTACATGAGACCATTTCCGGTCTCCTATCAGTCGCCTCTCCTCTGAGTTGTTAGCTGGGCAAAAAGCTTCACACTTATGTGAATGTGACTAAAGAAGACAAACTGCATTAAGTGTCTAATGAGCCTCATAAGTGAGGAGAGAGAGACAAGAGAAAACAGTGTGGTGGAGCCAAGAATGCAGTCATTCCCTTTATAAATGACTTGTTAAAACCTGAAGAGGAGAAAAGTTACTTCCTACTGAGTCTGAAAATAACACAGTGGCTGCTCGTTCTCCTCTACGACACAGCAATTATATGTGCCTGAGGAATGCTAGAACCTCGAGACATGCATGACCTTATCACTGTCTTCTGAGATGACCAGATTGTGGAAATAACTAACAAACAAGGTGTAAGTGTGAGCGTTACACATGAATGTGTCTATGTGTGCAGGTGGTTTTCAGATATATGTTGCTTCAGCAAAAAACTAAAGGAAAATAAAGTTTACAGTTTAATAACTGCAAGTTGTGATGACCCAACAGGATGTTTATGAAAGACCCTGGAGCCTCATCCATAGCTAGCTGAAATTACGGTAAGACAGTGGGCTGTGAACCACATACAAAGAATCCCTGTGTCATGAACCCACCCAGGCAGAGGAGACATGGGTGGGGGGAGCAAGTCAGCAAACAAGTGTGTGTTTACCAGCAAAACAGTCAAAAGTTAAAAAAAGAAAAAGACGTTCAATTCAGTGGTTATTGCAGACTGCAGCAGCTCTGCAGCCGACCCCGACCTCTGAAATCCCTGTGAAGGTGGAGAAACAACACCATCGTTTTCCGAAAGGACTAAATAAAGACTCATCATCTTATTTTTACATATTCCTGTCCCTGAAACTGGATTTAAAGAAATAAAATAACGAGCAGAACATTCTTAAATGAACAAAGGTCTTGAGAGAGAACAGTAAAAAAAGAAGATGTATTTATTGCATAATGCACTAAGATTCAATTTTCAAGCAATGTACCTCTTTCAGGTCTATGTCAGAGCTATAAACAAGTTTCTTTATCAAAAGAAGCTCTGTGACAGGAACTAGTAAACTGTAGATCACCTTGTTGGTAAAATATACACATACAGTACATCTATCTCTGGATAGATGTGTGCCAGTGCATGTCAGAATACAGCTGCTATAAAAGCTTCAGAAAAATCTTTTGTACTGTACCTTTAACCGCTTAAGCACATTTTAGAACTTTTGCCAGAAGGACATGTTCAAACTCAAGCATTAACAGCTCCACAGCTATAAGGCCAAAATGGACACAAATACTGTACTGTAAAAAGACTAAATGTGAATAGATAAATGAAGCACAGCAATGCAATTCTATCCACTTTAGCTGTATCTTATGCTTTGGAGAACCAGTCAGCAACCTTCTCACCTTGAGCAGATGCTACCTGGTTCCAGTACTAGGACTGGTAGGGTGAAAAGGGTTAAACATGAGTGGCAAGAGTTTCATAGGTGGATTAGGGAATGGTAACAAGCAAAGTGAAGTTAGTGTGTGTGTATGTATGTTATTTCATAGTCACATATCTCCTGCTATGTGATAAAAAGCCAAACACCTGGCGCTCTCTGTGACACTTGGCACAGGTGTATAAACAAACCAACACCTCAATACAGGAAAATGATGCCAAACTGCTAGCAGGTACAACACACCAGTGAGTGATATCACCTCCCACACAGTCTCTGTGTCACACAGTTGAAGGCTTTTTGGACTAGATTTCAGTTGACATAACCAGAAAGAAATGGTCTGCTTTTACGCATCCAAACAGCTGCAGCACAGACAGCCAATATCTGTTCAGATTATGGGGCCATGAAAAAAAACAATATTAGAATTTCCCTTTGAAGTTCCAGTAGCTTTTCCTATGTCTCTCTTCTTCCCTTGGACGTTGTTATGAAAGACACATTCTTAAGGTATTCTCTCTAAAATCAAGTGAACTAGATTGCAGGGATTAGCAAAACAGTGGTTAGATAAATGCATAAATGACCTTCGTCATGTATAGAATGACTCAGTACCAGCCTGTACACACAAACACACACACATTCATTTTATGGAGACTTAACCACTACTTGCTTAACCCTCACCGGACCCTTAACGTAAACCTAACCTTAGACCAAGTCATCACCCTGGCAACTGGTCCCCATGAGGAAGAGCCCATACAACGTGAATGCAAAAACAGGTTTTGGCCCCAACAATGCGAGTAATATCAGTCATGCATGTGTGCACATACACTCCCACTGGGATTTCTGGGGCCAACATATGCAGCTGTATACTGTGTGTGTGAACCCCAGGTGGAGGGGGAGAGAGGAAGAGATGCATGCAGTGTTGTTTTCTGTTTGCTGTCACTGGGAGCTCTGCCATCTATAAAGAGAGGGACCACACTAGTGTCAGCTCGACTTGTTTGTCACACAGAAAGAATCCTCAACCAAACCCTCTGTAAACTTTACATCCCCATGCCACAGCTGCAAACTCAGTTAACACAGTGAGTGATGCACAGTGCGTTGAGGAGGGGCAGTGGATGGGGGGGCAGACATCTGAAAACAGATTCCATTTATTAGTGAGCCTGCTTATATCCAGGTCAATCAATCAAAAAAATTAAAAAATACATTGGTCAAACATGTTGAGACATAATCACACCCAGGCCTCTTCCACACTGACACACCCCACAACTTTGAGATTGTGTAAAAACTGGTGACAACACCAACACAAGTAGCAAAAACGCCTGCAGAGGGTCAGAACCAAGTGATGGCCAACTGGCACTTGACATAAACGTTTACCTGTAAACTGAGTGCAATCTGACGAATATACATCATATTGAGATCCTCCAGTATCCACAGTTTTTCCTCCATGTTTGCGAATTTATCAACTGGCATCCTTTAGGCAGACATCCACAATTTTTCTTTTTCGGGGAGTTAAAGATGCGGTCCAAACAGCCACAGCGCAGGTACCGGGGAGAGAAAGTTCATTACAAAGGTGTCCGGTCCAGTCGCGACTCCTACAACCAGGTGCGTAAAACAATGCGTAATAATTTCACTCCGTATCCAAAACAACACTACCACCTCCGGGAAAGCAAACAGAGGTGTAGGTAGATAACAGCATCGGCTGCACTGTAGTAACCCTGTCCATAAAATCCCCCCAAGCCGTTCACGGGGCGTATTCTTATTCGCTACTTTTCTCCAGCCAACAAAGATCCTCTCAAACACCCACAGTCAAAACCCAGCGGCAGCGGGGGGAAGAATGGAGCCTTTTAAAATGCAGTTCTTGTCTTTGTGTCCCTGTGTTCTGATTATGAATGCCGTCTGTCCTCTGTGTGACAAGAGACCTCTCCACAAAAGGACATCGCCTCTGCGGGAGCGTACGGCACAGGGAGTCCACTGTGCGCGCCCTGACTCTCCCCAACTCGGCGCTAAATTAACCCCTCCGACGCACCTCTGGTAATGGTAATGAACTTTATAAAAAAGAAGGGGAAAAATAGAGATTACTTTAGCAGCCCCCACGCCCTTTTAAAACAACCCATATCAAACCTGCACCACCACCACATAAGCTTAACCAACGGGGAGCTTTGTACTTTTGACTGGCTGGATAATAAAAAGAGAAATAATAACTGTGTCAGGTGGCGCTCGTCATGAGGAAAAGTGAGCATGAACACCCAGAAACATTATCTAAGCACTAACCGGAATGGGTGCCATAGATTTAGACGATGGAAAATGTGAAATTATATCGTTTCCATTGTTTGAATGAATTAAAAAAATAGTTTTCAAAACAAAATTGAAATGTCTAATTTCTTGTGTTATTGCAAACAAAATTTTGGCGAAGGTACGAAAGATGTGCCTCAGGAGATCAGTTTTCTCTGTAGTCCAAACAAGATAATCCCGGAGTTTACTCCATATGACTTTCTGTTGTGGTGTAAAAACAGTTTACAGGCAAGCCACCTTAGCTCTAAAATCCAATACATAAAAGTAGGCGTCCCAAATATTACTTATGCTCTCCTCTTCAGTGCGTCCTGGACCTGATACATTCGTTATATGTGACGTGAGAATCCTTCCCTGGTGCGTGGGTGAGACCACGGTCGACCCCTCAACAGGAAAACGGCGTCATATTGCGCATGGCTCACTGAGCCATATTAATTGAAAGATGCACACATTCTTTCCACTGGAGTGAAGGGGATTTCAAAGGGCAAACGAATGATTTCAAGGACTCACCCTGAGAAATATATCACTCCTCAGAGGAAAGTTACGGCAGATTTTTGTGACCACATTCTTCACTTTGACATGACATTTGGGACCTCCCCTCTCCACACACACATTCCCATATGGCACTCACATCCTCTGAACTCTTTCACACAGGCAAACCTTTGAAAACAAAGGAGCTGTAAAAGCCCTTTCACCTTCGAGGAGAGGAGGAAAGGAGCCAAGAGTGCCAGTAGCAAACCTGGGTCATTTCCCCAAGAAAGGCCTCAGCCCTCAGGGTTTAAATCACCTGGCTAATCTGCTGCAGAAAAAAAAACATACAAACAGTAAGAAAAGAGATTTATTGTTCTTGAAGTACAAAGAGAAATAGTTGAGGTGAGTGCACAGAGCAAGGGTTATGGATGCTCATGCAGACAACATTCTGGGACTCTTGTACAAGTGTGTTTGTGTGCACAACCTGGATTTACTGTTCAGTACGAGTAGAGTCATATAGCCAGCAAGTCCCCTCTGCCAGTTGATCTGGATGCTGAACTGGAAAGAAATATTCACTTAACAAGACCTCAAACACATTGAACACTAGACTGAACTGTGTTAAACAGGCTTAACTCCTTTAATGAAGTGACACAGTTTTTCCTCAGCTGTTCTCACTTTTCTCATTTATTGATGTGGATGCTTTTTAAATAATGAACAAGTGACAGAACAACATTTTATTATTCTAATGTCACTTAATCCATGTAGTATTTCTTTAGTCTCTCTATTATACTACTACTACTATACTATACTGCATGTAAAATTTACCTGCAGCAAAACACAAAGACTGACACCGTATGACAAAGCCTAGAGGCTAAACAACAACAGAAAGACAACAGCTATTTTCTTAGAGACAGGCTGGCAAGCAGGCGACCTGCTCATATACAGCCTCACTGCTTTTCTGGCCAGGAGCCACCAAGTACAAGAAAATCCCAAGTGCTTAAAGACAATATATTAGTAGTTAGTGGAGAGGCCTAACAGCTGTAGGCCTGAATGGGCTTTTGCCATGTTAAATGGTGATTATTTACTCAGGGAACGGTATATTAGCAGCTTGTGACTAAGCGCTTCGTCTGACTGTAGCAGAGCCAGATGTGCTAATTGGCTGCCATGAGAGGCGTGAAACCAAGATGCTACACAATCAGTTATTCCAATGCCAACTGTGAGGTTAAGGGATTGATAAAATCCCTCCCCTCCAACTCACAAACACACAGGCTGACCCTTGCATAAGAGGTTCAGACAATACCCGGTGCCTTTCTTGTTTCTGAACGGATGTGTGGAGGAATATGGAAAACTTCCTGTTCCTACACCTAATCAGCTGGAGGAAACAAGCTGGAGTCAGAGTTGAGGGTGGTGGAGTACGCAGTGTTTGCAGTAGATATAAAAAGGTACTGATTGTAAGATATGTTCATATTTTTCAAACATTTGTTGTTGGTCAGTCAGGTGGACAACAGCGACAGTCAGGTCACTGAAATGAGCAAGAAAGGAAAGACTGCCAAGACAAATGGACAACAGAACCTTTGAGTCTTAAAAGGAATAATTAACAACATTGAAGAAAGCATTTTCTCAATGCAAATATAACAATTTCTAAAGGATAATTCCTGTATCTTAACACTTTGAGCTTTGTTTTTTTTTGTTTTTTTTTGCCATGCGTGGCTCAGGACACAGTGATCTCTTTTTGTTGGTCCACCATTTCCTCCAGATAGAAATATCTAAACAATATCATGGATTCAGACACAGTCTTGTACCAGCATTTGTGGTTCTCATGCTGTGAATGTTAACAACACTGCTCTGACTCATAACCCCCCCTTTGAGCTGAACTTTAGTGAGTTTTGCTCTAGCGCCATCCACAGGACAAAACATCAGTTTATTCAATACTTTAGTTTGTAACCAATACCTACAGAATGAATGGCATTAGCTTTTAGTGTAGCTCAAACCATTGCCAGACTGAACTGCTGGAATCACTGTAATTCCTCTGCCTGCAAACTTTCCTATCAGTCATAATAACTGATAATAATATCTAATACTACCACAGTAATAGCTGTGATCTAGAAATCTGAAAAGGCAAAAATGATGGGGCATGAAAAACTAGCATTAGGGCAGTTAGACAGGTTTTTATCTGGTTGTTAACGTTAACAGTTTAACCAGACTATCTAAACCTCATCATTAGAGGTAAATGTCTGCACTATTCCATCACTTAACACAACAGTGTCTACTGCGTGCCTTGTTTCCTCTTCCAAGTTTTGTCCAACCCAGGTGATGGAGGTTTATTTAAATCCTGTATGATCAGATAATTATCATATAAATGCCATTTTCAGTACTATCCTTTATCCTCAGATAGCAACAGTACCTTTCATTTTCAGAACCGTGGAGTCCACAGTAATGGTTTAAAACCGTCTTTATTCTAATATATAAAGTGGCAGCAGAACAGGGCAGGGAAACACAAAAGGGCTCCAGAGCAGCCAGGCCCCAAACCACAACAAAGAATCCTGCCTGTCATTTAGGCCGATTTCTCAAAACTGTACCCAACCCACACCCTGAGTCCCACTCACATGCATACACACACACACACACACACACACACACACAAACCAACTACACTAATACACACTCAGGCATAAACATTCTGTAAACCATGTAAACACAACACAAACACACACCATGAAGCTGTGGCTAAATGGTCTCAACATATGAGACAAATGCAGCTGATCAACGTTTGTCAGTCTGATTATGGTCAGCCAAGCAAACATCCTCCCTGTTGTTTCACACAGACGGCAAAGACGTGATTATTACAGAGCATTTTCTCTGTGTATTTTTACACTCTTAGACAGTTCACTGCAAAAGACACCGAGTGGGGAAAAACGGTTTTCTTCAGCCGATTCAATGCTCAAATTTCAAACCTGCAAAAGTACCATCTTACAAATCTGCTCCTGTAAAATGTGCATCATAATTAAAAAGGTGTACTGTGGTTGTGCCTGAAGGACAGAACTTACTGTGATTGTGCAGTTACAGAGACAAACGTTCTGAACAGACACAGAAACCAGTTTTAAACTTAGTCGACTAATCCACTACTCAAAAAAAAAAAAAAACAACTTTAAAAAGACCTGAATATCACAGGACTCTAATTCCATTGTTGTACTTCAGCAGACACGAGGTGACATCTGTTCGACTTGATCATAGCAGCATGTGATGGGAAACCAGACGTGTCACTGAGAAATTCCTCTGGAGGTCAGTTCTCAGTTAACGAGCAGGAAAACCCTGCGCTGGCAGCCACATAGTGACAAGTCAGACACTGAGATGAAGTAATGACACTGTAAATCTCATCGACAGTCCACTTTGTTACTAGGTGTATCAGTTTCAGTCTATAATGTGGAAGTGATCCTGCTTGTTCTTCAGGATCAAATACAGGACAAAGAATGTCATTGAGGATGTTCTGCATTATACTGATGATCAGGGGTGTGACGATACACTTGGCTCACAAGACGAGATGATACATGGTATTGTGTTCACAAGAACATGACGAGAAAATTTTAACAATGTTTTTAAGAAATCTTCAGTGATGAAACATATGACTGGCAAATGGTCTTTTATTTGACTGAAAATCACAAAATGCAAAACAATGCAGGTGCTATTTGAAATATTTCAACTAATTATCTTGCAGTGACTGTCACTTCAGTTCTGCTTTATGAGTATGAATTATCATATGCAGTAAAACACAACAATATGCAAGCACAATGAAATGATTTGCCTCAAACTCAACTGATTTTTCTCCTGTATGATTTCACGACCTTATAACTGTGTATGAACTTCTAACTGAAGCTCTGTGTGATCTTCTATGCTATTTTCACCTGTGCCACACTGGATGGTGACATCATAAGGCAACAGCGCCCATGTTGACCAATCACGTAGGGGGACAATTGGACTGCGGATGCCCACGGGAAGAAGACTGTTGTTTACCTTGTTAACATGAGCATTCACTGCTATTCACTGTCGAATGAACAGTTAACACACCATAACATAAAAACTGTGTTTTTATCTACCAATGTCGACACACCGCTGGTAGAATTGGTGCTAAAGTAGAGTAGGCTACATTAG